AGTACATTAACTCTATTCAACACAGAAAACAAAGACTTGGCTGAGAAGGTTACATCTTTCTATGAGACTAATAAGCCCCAGTACTTTCTGATAGTTACCCATTACTGAGGAAGAAAAAGAGAAATATTAATCTATTGTCTGGTTATTTTCTGTACCGCAGCAAAATCACACTAAGAAAAAATGAATATATATATATATATACACACACACGAAAACCAGATGGTGGAACTTTTGACACAGAATCATCATTTGCAGGCTAGGCTGCTAACACTGACTTTGTGAGGCTGCTTTGAACCCACAAAGACTGCCCTGTAAGTGATGAAGTGCTCTTACATGTGGGAGACTTTGACCCACCCATTTTGTTTTTTAGCCATGTCAGATCTGCAAGAAAACTACACAGGCTGTATTTCATTTTCCTAAAAAAAATATAATTATCATTGTGTGGCCACTTTGATCAAACTGCCATAAGTAGCATGCAAAGATGCCGATTGGTCAGTGACTTGATTGACGAACAATTGATAAATGACAAATAACCGAAACTAAACTGATCATCTATGAAGATTAAGTTATGGCCAATGGCAAACATGAAGAGGCAGATAATGTATGAGCCACATGAACCAAGGGAAAATAATGACCCATTGAAAATCCCAATGTATAAAAATCCCAATATATTAAGTGTTACATCACTTAATAACTGTGAATCAGGTGCTATTCATGTCAGAGCATAATCATAAACTGTGCAAGCCAGAACCTCCAGGTGCAGGGTCAGGATCCAAGATTTAAAAGGTCAGTAAAGCCAGAATCAATTGATTTCTGCCAAATAGAGCTACCTGTCTCCCCTTCCTACCCCAAACCCTAGGATAGCAAACTCAATATACATCTGCAGCAATCAGTGCTTAAGCATTTGCAAGCGTTACCCTAAAAACATCTTGTATTCTCCCGGAAACATTTCTGACTCCCAAGATTCAGCTTTTAAGCTGAGATAAAGTAATAGAAAATAAGAACTGATGTACGAAGAACATTCGAACTGCTCAGTTCCACACCACATAACACAGAGAAATATGATAAACAAACCATCGTTGGATCTTGAGGCTAACATCTCTGAAATTTTAAATGTTTTTGACAATAGTTTATATTTTCAGCCTTTAAGAAAAAGGAATTGATATGTGCCCTCTGTAGAGTTTTATTCATAACCTTCAATCAGACCTCAAATGTTTTCATTTATTACTTCTGTACATTTAGTTAGCATGGAACATGCCATTTTTAAACTGAAGATGTTTTAAGTTTCAAGTTCTGAGTTTTGCGCATTACCCACTTCCGCTCCTTTCACACTTGCTGGAAGTATTTTGAGAAGTATTTCACATAAGCTGGAAGTTATTTATTGCTTTTCTTCAATTACATTGCTTAAAAATGAGAATATTCTGATCCTACAAATACACACACTGACTACAACGAACTTACGACCGAATTGCCTGGTCACAATGCAGTGCTGATCTAAAAACTCAAAGCATGTATGGGGGAAACTCATTCCATAATACATAAATATATGACATAGCAGAAATATACTCCTTTAAAAAATCACCATTTTCCATAACGTGTCCTTGTGTCTTCTTCAAAAGTTCTTTAAAAACAAGCAACGTCTCTTATCCCTACCGATGAAAGGGGATAAGATTCCAACACTAGTGCCTAAACACCAGGAAGCATGACTACATGCAGCAAAAACGTAGAAAACTGCTCTTAACCACTAACTAAAACAGAAAAAAAGTATATTGAGAACAATCTTATGTACTATAGAAGTACATTAAGAATGATGTAATACTTTGGATTATCTGGGATGGGACAGCTCTACAGTGACTAGAGTAAAAAGCCCCCAGCAATGAGGACTACATGAAAGTCCTTTGTTGCCCTGTGTTAATATAGACATCCCTAAATATGAAGAAGCCTAATTTTCCATACTAAAGGGTTTCCAAAGCTTACTGATGTGAGAAAAATAAAACCAGCAGAACACAACTGAACCTACCAAATCTTCCAATTTTACAAGTTCCTGTGACTGAACCTATTATGATCTTCACAATTTCTCCAAATGTCATTTGATTCTAATGTTGCTATATAACACCTCAAATTCAATAATATACACATATTTTTGCACTGACATAAGTCAGAAGTTCCTCACCTACACAGCTCTCATCATCAGTGGAATACAAATCCCTTCAAGATGACAAGAGGCCATAATCAGGTCTTTATTCTGCTTTTGCACATGTGTCTGGCAGGACAGCACAAGTACTCAAAAGGAGAGGGCACAGGGTGATAGCAGAGACCTTGAGAGCACCGGCACAGAATGGCTTCAGATGGCCCAAATGTATTATAAAAAAAAAAAAAAAAAAAAAAAAAGTGACAGTCTGCTACTGGTCATCAAAGCAACTTCTAGAGCTGGCTAAAACCAGTTGTAGATTACAATAAAGGCAAAGATCATGTGTAAAATATTCCAAATACAGTGAAACCAGCGGAGACAAGAAAACATAACAACTGTCATAGCTTATAAAAGAACTCTGAAAGAAAAGAGCAAATGTGCACCACCTCCTGTCTAGTGTACCTGATGAGCCTCACTGCACAACTTCAGCGCAGAAAGAGCACTGCGTTTTGGTTTGCCATTCACCACGTCTTGCTAATGCAAGTCCAGAAGCCACAAAGAGTGTTTTATTTTGCTGTATAGCTGGGTTAAAGAACAGCATATGCAGGTACAGGTGCATGCTCCAACCTTCCAGCAGAGCAGACTGGGGTCATAGCACTGAGTCTGAGTGAATTCAGAGACAACAACAGAACAAGCACAAAATGTGAAGGTTTCTTCTGGATGAAGAGGTAATTAGGACTGCTTGTGTATGTGAATCAAAGTCCATGAGACTAAACGGTACGGTATACCTGTACAGGCATGTATGATTTGCTCAGATCCCCCACTAATTGCAAAAATATTCATGTTCACTCACTTCCAGAATGCAGTTTCTAATTTTAAGAATGCAGAAGTTTTGATTTCAGTGTATTTACTCATAAAAAGATAAACTAGGTTTTCAAATCCAGTTTACTTTTTAACTAGTGAAAGAGTCTCAGCCTTTAAGTGACTTTTTCCCTTCCTCACCCCCTCCACAGCAGAGGTAACAAATCCAGGAAGAGTGTGAGGAGGGGGAAGGATCTTATTCTTGTGAACACTTTTTTGGTTATGTTGTTTTAAATGCAACGTTGGCAGCGAGATACTGCTAGAGGCTTTGGAATATTGCCTTCTGAAGCTTCCACTTTTCCCAGTTTTTACTAGCAATAAAGAATTTGTTTCTAGAAACATGTAATTTTAATTACAAAATTACCCCCAAAATATAAATGGAATTTAATTGGCTACAAAGTTATATTTCCACATGAGCAAGGGATGTTTCAAAGATTTAAGGCATAATTTATTAGTTCTGGACAAGTTGCACTTTTTGATTCCTACAGGCAAATAACAAAGTGATTAGTAAGCGTAATAAAGTAATTTATTTGTCTGACAATTGGCAGCAAGAAATGCAATAACTTACTTGATCAAATGCCATTTTAAAGAACATTAAAGTTGCTCATAATTATGCTATCTATATGGTATGCAGATGAACAATACAGCATTATTCCTATTACATTAGTGATTTAATATGTTTCTGCCAGACTTTTGCATTATGCAGCACGGTACAAAGGAAGTAATTACTTTTTGCTCTGAAAGATTGAAGAATTGACCCTCCTCTAAATACACAAAGAATCTGACTACATGAAGAACTAAAGATAGTTTCTCCTCCACCAAAATTCTTCTGATATTCCAAACCACGCACATCAGTTTTAAGAAAAGGTCTTCACTTTCCCTTCATTTAGTTCCTCAAAATTACAATTGTCAAGAGATAAGTACCTCTCTGTCTCTGGCAAGCAGCTCTGCTAGTTCGTTACATAGAATGACATTCTTCTCACATTCCTCAGTTTGTTCTCTAACTACGACAGTTAACAGCAATAGTGAACAGCTTCTGGAGTCCAGTTCTCTCATGGCCAAGCTTCAGTGGACTTAAGTCAGCACAGAAAACCACCACAGAGCCACTAAATTACCACACACACTTCAGAAATAAATTATATAGTGGAAAAGATGACTGACATTCATAAGATCATGTCACATGATACTTAGGTGATCTAGGCAAGGAGATTAATGGATTTAACCTCAAATCACCTCACTGAAGTTGAGCATTTTACCTGTTTACTATAGGGGAATTGAAATACAAGGTAAATAGACCAGACTGTACAAATAAGTCTGTGGCTGAGTCATGAATTTCTTATAACCCTATCTCTCATCTCTGGTAGTATCATTAATAGCTTAGTGTTCTATCTGCATCAACGTAACTTCTACCAGCTCCTCCCAGTCACTTACCACTTATTTTCTCAGAAATCTTTCTAATTCCTGTAAATATTTCCAAGAAAGTACACAGTCCTCAAACACAGTGATGACAAGGGACCTGCAATCACACTCTGGAGGCTTCCAGCTTCCCTATTTCCCAGCAGATGGCAAGGTTTAGGGGTTCTAGAAAAATCTAGTGTAAACACAGGAATAGTTCTCTTGCCACTTACCTACTCAGGATTTGCATACAGATATGAAATGAACACACACAACGCAACGTTTATAAGTCAGATGACCTCCTGCTCTCCTCTCTGGATGCAGTCAGCAAACACTAACAATGATTACCATTAGATGAGAATTGGACATTAATTTAATACTGTACTAATAGCCTCTACAACAATAATTTTTCTGTATAGCAACTTATGCCCATAGCTTTTTTTTTTTTTAAAAAAAAAAGTCTCCTCCAGTCTGACCTCTCTGCATAACAAGAGTTCTGAATCTATGCAACTTAAAAACCAACAGATCATTAATGCAGGTCCCAGGTGATCCCACTTTCACCCTGTGCAGCATATGAGCACATTCCACTGTTGCATGGCTATTTAGTACCTACCCCGTGTTCTTTAGCAGCCATAACCACTTCTAACAGAATATCTTCTTCAACGAATGGCCTCACAGCATCATGGATAACCACTACTTCTGGCTTCTGGAGGAGGTATTTGGAAAACTCACTCTCTGCAAGTACTTTCAGTCCATTAAAAATTGATCGGTGCCGTGTTATTCCACCTTTCACTACTGTAACTCTTTTGTGGCCATATTTCTCAATGATGGTCTTCATTGTTTCAATATTTTCAGGAGAGACGACCACAATAATATCAGATATCCAACTTATCCTGGAAGAAATAGTACAGAAACATAAAAGTAGACATGGATGATAAAATCACAAATATCTGCATGAATCATATAAATTCATATTAAAAAAAAAACAAGATGACTAAATAAAGTGTTTTTTCAAACACTTATGTTTGCACATTAGCAGACTATATATATATATAGTCATTTAAATATATATATATATATATATATCTCACGTAGAGACCTACATAAGATCTCTACCAATATGCCAGTACCAAAGAAAAATGAATTCTGGGAGGAAAAAAAAAAATACACAGCTTGCAGAAATAAAATTTTCTGATAAACCTTCAGAAAGCCTTCCAAACAATTCTTACTCCAGCCTTATCATCAGCTTCAACTGTAATTTCTAAATCAATCACATGCCTTTCACTATTTTAGCTTCTCCAAAATTCAGTCTCCAATAAAACGGTAAATTCTGGGATCTGGAACATACGGAGTCCTAGGAGGCAGGGGAGGTCACACTAGAGAACAGTGCAAGGCAGCACCGCAACCACAGGAAAGCTCTGGAGACAAAGATCACTCTGACAAACAGCAAGACTGACACAAGCGGAAACAGACAGACTGCTACAGAATCAAGAGAACCAAGACTAGGACACCCGAGTGTTGACAGAAGTGTCAGAAGAAGCATATATATGTATACATGCATGTATGTGTGTGCACACAGATTTCTGGTGTGGAAAGTTAGCAAAACACGAAAATAAAGTGACACAAGGCACAGCTGCCATCACATGAAGAGATTGCTTTCAGAAACTTCAAGCACCTAACACAGGTATCAGCCTAGTTCTACCATGGGGAAGGAGGGAGGAAGCCACAAAATTAAAAACGGTCATAACTGAAGTCCGGCTGAAATCATATTTAGGTCAAAGGACTCAAGAACAAAAATTGCAGTCACATACAGCATACTGTACTTTAAAATAACGAAAATGCCACAATTCAATTCAATTACTCAAGTATTTTATTGCCTAAATGCTACGTAGAGAATATCAAAAAGAATTTAACATTATTTCCTTCCTGCATCTTCACAGATGACAATCACTTCTTTTTTTTTTTTCATCAGATGAGCAATGAACTGAAAAAATCACAACCATTTACTCACTACACTTACATGTAGCCTACAAATCTAGCTTTGCAAAAAGAGAGAAGCATGGCATATTCTCTCTCAGAAGGAGAGTTATTGAAAATTATTCTGCCGACACAGAAGGACCAAGGTTACTAAACCCTTGCAGTTAAATATATATATATACACACACACACACAAACATTGCTCTTAGAAACGCTCAACTTTCTGGTGTCCACCATAACACGTCAGAAGTTATCGCCCAAGAAGTACCCTTATTCCGAAAGGAAAGTTGTCTGTGAGGCAGATCATTTCTCCAGAACTATATAAAACAATAGTTAATCTTCCACCTTCTTTGGGGATTTTGTAACTAACAGTCCATGGAAAACTATACTCTAATTAATTTTAAAAGAACTATTAATAATAAATAGAAGTTCTATTAGCATTCTAAATAATAGAAAAACATTTTTTCTCATGTAAACTTTGTTGCTATCGCACACAGAAAACACAGCCAAAATAACATTCTCAGCATTTCTTATTAATGTCATGCACACATAAAATCTGAAATCACAGTTTCAAGATTCATTTCAACTTGTCCTTCACCACAGGTTCACCAAAAGGTTTGCAAAAGTCTCAAGTAATTCTTAGCCACAAAACTTTCCACTTCTGTGTGACTCTTAAAAGCAGGACAAGCAAATTGGATTAATCTCAGATCTTCTTCACATACTTCGTTTCAGTCATTTAAATAAAGCAGAACTCAAGGAGAGCTATTTCACACTAATAACAGAAAAACAAGAACTCTGCTCTATTTGCAGAAAGACTAAGGAATTGTACAGTTCCCGGAAGCAGAAGACAGCCTGCATGTTCACAAGTGACACTGTAAGAAAAGCACTGACATTACCCATTCCGGAGTCAAGTAAAAAAAGATTATGATGCCACTGTGGAGCACACAGCATCATTTGAGAGCTGGGGAGAGCAGTGAAGTTCTGGCCAGCCCATGACAAATATGTGTACAGGGGGCTGCAATGGCTCAAGGCCTCCAGTGGCACCAAAGTGACAGGACGCGGTCACAGCTCCACCCTGTGTCTGCATAAACACATTCATAAACTCGAGGACATCCTTCTTAAACTCACTCTGGACTAGTAATCTAAGAATAGAGCTGAGACTCAGGGATGCAAACGATTCCCAAAGGAGTATCTCGTTAACCTCTAGACAGATTAGGTGGAAGAACAGTTTGCGTTTTGTTGCACAAAATGACCCATCGGAAGTGTTTTACAAAAGCCATAAACAAGTACTGATTCAGTACAAAAAGTTCTTATGAATGGGATCTATGCATGACAGGTGCTTTAGCTTTAAAAAAAAAGGGGGATGGAAATGCTGCAAAGTGATTTAACAAATGAACTATGAAAACTGTCAGAGGACACTCAGCCTGGCAGCACACAGATCTGTTTTCCTTCATCCATCACACTTCTTTTTCCTCTTCTTTACTTTTTTGAAAACTAAAATATTAAATTAAGGACCTGCTCAAAAACAAAAATAATAAATACCCTTTCCATCTGCAAATATTAACTCAAGTAAAAAAAAAAAAAAAAAATCTTCCATTCTGTTTGATGATGCAAGCTTTAAAAACAATCTAAACAAGGCATGGAGGAGATCCGAATAACATGTTCCAAAATGCTTTAAAACATAACAAATACAGAACTCTACTCATTCTATACCACACGGGCTGTAGCTCTATAATGGAAAATCAAGGCTGATCAAATGAAACAAAAGTAAAATCCGACTGCAAATCACTTTACAGCTGCCTAGAGACAACCTCAAGATTAGTAAAAGGAAAAAACTGAAGCAAAGGAGGACTGTTTCTTTTTCAAAAAACTTTTTGCTGGGAATGACCGGCTGGATAGACGAGGGGAGAGCGGTGGATGTCGTCTATCTCGACTTCACCAAGGCTTTTGACACCGTCCCTCACAACATCCTCCTGGGCAAGCTCCGGAAGTGTGGGATAGATGAGTGGACAGTGAGATGGATTAGGAACTGGCTGGATGGCAGAGCTCAGAGGGTGGTGATCAGCGGTGCAGAGTCTAGTTGGAGGCCTGTAGCTAGCGGTGTCCCCCAGGGGTCAGTCCTTGGTCCAGTCCTGTTCAATTTATTCATCAATGACCTGGATGAAGGCACGGAGTGCTCCCTCAGCAAGTTTGCTGATGATACCAAACTGGTGATACCTCCAAGGGCTGCGCTGCCATCCAGAGGGACCTGGACAGACTGGACAACTGGGCAGTGAAAAACCTCATGCAATTCAACAAGGCCAAGTGCAAGGTCCTGCACCTGGGGAGGAATAACCCCAGACACCAGTACAGGCTGGGGACCGACCTTCTGGAGAGCAGCTCTGCAGAGAAAGACCTGCGTGTCATGGTGGATGATAAGTTGACCATGAGGCAGCAGTGTGCCCTCGTGGCCAAGAAGGCCAATGGAATCCTGGGCTGCATTAAGAAGAGCATCTCCAGCAGGTCGAGGGAGGTGATCCTGCCCCTCTACTCAGCCCTGGTGAGGCCGCATCTGGAGTATTGTGTCCAGTTCTGGGCTCCCCAGTACAAGAGGGATGTGGAGCTGCTGGAGAGAGTCCAGCGCAGGGCCACAAGGATGATCAGGGGCCTGGAACATCTGCCCTATGAGGAGAGGCTGAGGGAGCTGGGCCTGTTCAGCCTGGAGAAGAGAAGGCTGAGAGGGGATCTAATCAGTGTCTATAAGTACCTCAAGGGCGGCAGTGAGGAGGATGGTGCTGGTCTCTTTTCAGTGGCGGCCACTGACAGAGCTAGAGGAAACGGCCACAAACTGAAGCACCAAAAGTTCCACATGAACTTAAGGAAAAATGTCTTAACAGTGAGGGTGACAGAGCACTGGAACAGGCTGCCCAGAGAGGTTGTGGAGTCTCCTTCTCTGGAGATTTTCAAAACCCGCTTGGACGCAGTCCTGTGCCACGTGCTCTAGGTGACCCTGCGTGTGCAGGGGGGTTGGACTAGATGACCTCTAGAGGTCCCTTCCAACCTTAAGTATTCTATGATTCTATGATCACTCACTGGAGTGCAAAATTTCTAACTAGGCCTTCTGCCTAGTGCAAAAGAATCCTGTTCCATTACATTTCAGCAAAAGGATTCACTTTTACATTAGCTGAGCCAGAGCTCCAAGAAAAGTACTTTAAGTCAGAAACAGCCTAAGCTATTGCCCGACTTAAACATAGGGTGAAGCGAAAATTAACAAATGGGTTATGCTTGGAGACCCTTATCACCTAGAAATAGGCTCAGGTACCAGTGTGATTTTGAGGTTTTAAACTTCAGCAAGTTTACTTGCATATGAAAAGAAACGAGTACCAACTCCGAGCTGACAAAAGGCTCAAAGGCTGGCAGTCAGTTTCCGCAACTCTTACCCGGACTGCAGCAACTTACCTCACATCAAACCTACTGAAATCAGCACTAGCATCAGCAAAACAAAGGCACTGCCAGACAGCAACTGCTGAGATGGCTTTAGCAGCACAAGATACCATCTTTCACGGCCACTGAAACTCTTCAGAGATAAAACACAAATTACTACTTTTGGTGACTTTATTCAAATACCAAATGGCAAAAAGGACTGCTGTCAAAGGCAAAAAGCAAATGCAAATTTCCCTTCCTTCTTCACCCCCCCCCCGCCACTTTCTTGATATATAAAAAACATATACCAATACTATTTTTTCTCTCTTGTTTTTAAACCAATGCAAGCAGGGAGATTGTAAGTCTGAAAAGCTTCCCAGATGCTCAAAACTTGCTTAGTGTATCTCATGTACAGAGGCAATCCATTTTACCTGAAAAAACTAAGCCAGTATTCCTTATTGATCAGAAAAGATAATAAAGGTATTATCTCTATAAAGGTAATACATTTGAAATGCTTGCTATCTCTATTTTAGCTGGTAAGCCATTTCAATAATAAGCTAATGATAACAGGATGAGCTAATGTGCTACTCCACATCTAGCAAAAATGCATCTGTGTGACCTATGTAACTAGTGAGCAAGCACCAGCCAATGAGGATAAAAATATCTGGCAAATAAACTATAAAAGACACTTCCAAAAAGGCAGTTCCCTGGAAGCTTCCCCCAGGTGCTGTTTTTTGACATCAGGCCACCTGTTTTGTGAGACTACATCATTGTAAGAAAAGAAACTGTTTGAAGCCACTGGATAATTGCTCTTATTCCAGCAAACACATTAACTCTGTGCTGTACTTTCACTGGGTGATGAAAAATGAGTGAAAATTTAAACTTTTACCCTACAGTGTTCCTCTCTATAGCTTAGAGAAATTCTTCACTGCATGCACACATACCCACACACATAGAAAGGGATTCCTCCTTGCCTCAAAGGAAGGAATTGTAAACATCCGACTGCAAACAGGCATACACAACGTAATTAAAGAGAAGGAGGAACTCCGTGAGCATGTACAGAAGCAAAAAGGAAAAACATCACTGTAGTTCTGTTGAACTTGATGCAAAAGCCTCAGAGTCCAACAAAAGCAGAAATTAATTTAAAACATATAAATATATAAAACAAATTCATAGGAAAATTGATACACTTAAGTTTATCCCCAAAGTAGGGCCTGACCTTCCTATCAGCATCACTGATAATACTGGCAATAAAAAGCAATCTTTCCTCCCTATTCTACTCACTCTTACGCCATCTTCCTAGGGGCATTTTCTTTGATTATTATTGGAAGGCCAACCTTCTAAGTTCTGTCATCCTAGAGAACAGGATATGCTGCTTATTCATTCATGTCTGCTCTTGCCTGGCAGTTTTCCACACAAATATTTAAGGTTCTCGTTACTTTCAGCTGAATAGGGTAAAAATCCTCATCACCTCATGTTTAAAAGGCACATGCAAAACAGCTGCAAATTTTTGGTTTGCTAATGTGTTTGTCTGTGCATTGGTACATTTTCTTTCCATATCCAAAATTCCAAGCTGGAAAACAGCTAATGTAGGCAAAATAACCAGGAGCTCGGTAAGAAGTTACTACAGGCTAATAAGCTAATGATTCATTATTATTAGGGAAAATAAATAATAGACTTGGGAAGATAATTCCAAACTAGTTTCAGAGAGTCTGCCACTTCTAGGTGGTGGATGATGTGACAAGCCACAGTTCCTCAATAACATTACGTGTTCTGTGCTCACATTTACACCAAGTGGGAAGAAGGAACCTCTTCTACACTTTCAGGGTCAAAAGCTTTGAGAAGAAACAAGTCATTTCAAGCTTTAAAGTTGCATCTTTTCCTATTTCTCACTACACATCCATACCAAGCACCTCTCCACCCAAACCAGTAGGGAGATGGCACAAGTCCTGCCCAAGAGAGGACTGGCACCAACTGCCACACTCCTAAACCAAGGGAAAGCACTTGGTCGAGCCCCTCACAACCCAGTTGGATCATGTGCTTGGGTGAACCGCAGCACTTTACTTCAGACATCTATTTTTTTGAAGCTTTATTAACAAAACACTAGTATTGTTGCTCAAAGAACTGTTTCTCTCCCAGAACCCACTGGCAGTAAAAATGAAAGATTTTTGAGTGATGTTTTCTTTTCCTGTGGCCATCACTTCCTTCCCAAACCTCATTCTGTTCTTCTTCCCAGGTCTCTAGCACACTGAGTGAGGATATTTTCCCTGTAGATTCCCATGGCATTTTGGCAGAAGCTGCAGCTGTGGCAAGTTTTGGATTAGAGGTTTCGCCTACTGATGCGCTCAGCCTTGTCACTGGCTGCTGCTGAGAATTAAATAAAGAAAATGAGCAGCATCTCTTTCATAAAGTAACAAGTGACCTGGGGGAAGCCTCGCTGGGAGAGAATGGAAAAGGGCCCCAAATTTGATGTTCAGCAAGTTTCCATGAGCTCAGAGCTCCCGCAGAAGTTGGCAGTTCCACTTCTTTTCACCACTCACTCCTCTCCTCCCCAAGAAACCTGACAATTTTCCTACAAGTCCTGGCAAAACATCTCAAATCCCTGCAACACCCCGCTCCTACCCGCGGTGTTTCTAGTGACACTAGATACGAGACCTCGATTATGCTAGCACTAGACAAGAAGTGCATATATATATATATATATATGTGCATTAACTGCCAACCACACGGCTAGGACTCAGAGCTACCCAGAGGAAAACCTGCCTGCTGAGACACAGCGCTCCTGACACGGCTCCAGCCCGCTGGCACGGGCGGCAAGGCCGGCCCCGGGGCTACGCACGCCGCGGCAGCGGGGCAGGAGGACACGGCCAGGGGCTCGGCAGGGCTCCCCGAGCGCCGTCGCTGCCAGGCCCGGCCGAGGCGGCGCTCGGGGCCCCGCCGGGCGCGTTACCTCTCCACCGCCCGCCCGGCGGAGCTGAC